AGAGAGCAGCCCCTTCCACGCCCAGAGCCTTGATGGAAGATGATCACTGTGGCAGGTACAGCCTGCCAAGATGAACCGGTATAAATTAACCAGGAAAGGTTAAATTAGAGTAAAATGAGGATTGTAGACCGATCTAGGAAGCAAAGTTAATTCTGAGCCGGTGCTCTCAGCTGCAGCTGGGTGGACGACTCGGGATTAGGAAGCCTTTCCATGGGGATCATTGTTAATAGTTTCTTTAAAAATAAATTCTGGTGCGGAAGGATGAGTCAAGGCTGGGAACTGTCTGGGAGGACAGTGCGAGTCTTGTACAAAATCTTATTTTCCAAGCAGTGCAGAAAAGTGTATTTTTTAAGCTCTGTGTAGAAAGCAAAGGTAACAAACACTTGTGAGGGCCACCATCAAGGCTGGGCCTGCTGAATTCTGGGTATCCCCAGGGGTGCTCTGGACCCTGTGGACTCCCCTGGGCTTATTCCAGCCCATTTGTGTCTTCCTTGCATGGCTCTTCCTGTCCCAGCACCTCCATGGATCCCGTGCCACTGCTCCCCAGCCACCACAGGCAGCTGTTTTCCCCACGGGATGTTGTCCCAGAGCATCCCAGCACCAGGGACGACCTTGGCCACGACTCATCTCAGACATCCTGTCGTGGCAGCACCAGGTATTTTGGATGGACCCACCCGGTTGTGTTTTCAGTGGTCATGACTGAAAAAAATAGCAGTGTGATAACAATATATAAATGGTTTTTTTGTTAATTTTTATCATATTTAAATTACTATACAGTACACAGGAAGACAGTATTACCTGTGGATTGTTCTCGTTCACTTTTTTAACTCTCCTGTAGTACTGTTGAACAATGCAAGCAAGCAGAGATTGATCCTATTCTTTACTTGAATTAAAAAAAGAATAATCATTGTTGTGTTTTCTCCGGATGTCTGTTTGCTTTGATATTCAATTACAGGGTTCATTAAATCAAGGGCCCCATCGCTATATTTCATCTTTCCTTTGCTCTGTGATGCTGTGGGGTGTGTTACACACACACAGTGCATGAGGCAAAAGCACGAGGCTCCCTCGTTGCCTGCGCTTCAGAACTAGAATTTGCCACCTCAAATTGGTGGGAAGTTGCAGTATTCCCAAACCTGGAGCCTCACCCCTTGGCAACACGTCCACAGCCAGCACTGCACCGACGTGTGCTGCTCCCACACTCGGCTCTCCCGAGCTCTAATAGCCAGGAAAAATGTTTCTAATTTGTTTGACGGTCTTTAATCTGCCCCTTTGTTTGAGCGGTTGGTGTTGAAGTATTTTTTCAAGGACTTTCGTGGTTGCTATAGATATTTTATTCCGTAACAAGGATTACATTGCGTGTAATCCCGCGAAAAGATACAGCAATTAATTTGAAAATTGCTTAAGGAGTCGATAAGTATTTAAAACCTTAATTACGTCTAACCTTGTTTTCTCTTGCAGCTCAGTCAGGCACAGCCTGGGGAGAGGGGGAACGGCCTCGTGCCGTGTCAGCATCACCTTCCCAGAGCCTCCTGGTGCCTCTGCCCCCACCAGCCGGGGCGGGAAGAGCCCAGATCGGCCCCGCGGAGCTCCCGGGCGCGGGGAAGTCGTTCTTTAAAGCTCTGGAGAAATGCAGTGCATTTATCAGCTCTGAGTGGATATCATTGTGTTTATAACAGAGTGGAGGCACCATGCAATTTTGCTCTTGAAATTGGTTTATATAGATGACTGGTTGCTGTGAAGTGTGTGTCAGAGTTGCATGCAGCCGTTATGAAGTAGTACAATTGTCATCGCTTCTTACATGGTTGTTGAGAAGAGCTTGAGAGCCCAGCTCAGTCAGCTGTTGAATAGATAACCCAACACAGTTAACGTGGCATACATTGTAAAGAATTACATGCCTGCTACAATGAGCTCTGGGCCTTTGGTCTAGATAATAATCCTGGTGGGTGTACCACGTGTAGAGCCTGTCTGATCGCTCAGATATGACTGACGAAACAGAAAGAAAAATGTCAGTCTGCGAGAAGAAAAATGCTGCTGTAAGTTTGTTTAAGGCTCACGCGAGCGGCCGCGCCGCCCGGGTTAACCCCAACCCTCCCGACGGCTGGCAGGCCGCGTGTGCCTCTCCCGGGCTCCCTCCGAGGTGGCACTGGGGTCTGTCAGCTGCGATGAGGGCTCTGGCCATCTCTCCCCGCCGTGGTGGCCTTGTCTCCTCGGTTCCCAGCCAGCCCGGTCCCCGTGTCAGCTCACGTTTGTGCCGCGGGAGCCTCGCGCCTCCGAGAAGGGGGAGCGTTCGCGGCTTCTTAAGTGCCGTGGCACAACTCATCCCAGGGAACTGGAGGGATAATCGAGCTGGCAATAGGGACTGGGCTGGAGGAGCAGTAATTAATACTGCTGGCAAATTAGTGAGATGAGTAAATAAGTGGAGATCAGCCCCTCGGCGGGGAGATGAACGTGCGCGAGGGATGCGGTCACGGCCCTGGGGCACCGCGGAGCTGGGGGAGGCCAAGGCCAGGGCTGATGCTCTGCTTGGGTGCAGCAGCACCCGTGGCCAGCTCACCTCACCTGGGGAGGCTTTGCACCTCTGGTCTCTGGCACCTCTAACCCCTTGTGCTGCTCCTGCAGGGTGTGTTGGAGCATCCATGGATTGCACGTGTGAAGGACAGGGGCCACCAAGGTGTTCATGCCCATTGCCTGCCCGGTGCTGGAGGAGAAGGAGGGGGCTGAGCTCTCCTCCCAGGCCTTGCACAAACAGATTTTTAAATTTCTTTTGTACTACAAAATCGGTATTTCCTTTATACTTCCTAATTTTTGTGCATGCATTTGGAGATGAGGCAGTTTTGCAGCAATACAGCTGCATGTGCTGAAGCTGCTGCTGGGATTCGTGAGTGACCTGCACGTGGTTTGAGCCAGTCCAGGCCTGGCCTTGGCAGAGTGAGGGCAGGGACACATCATGGTGACATCTGTCCCTCAGGGACCAATGGTGACGTCTGTCCATGAGAAATTCGGGGTTGCTGTGTCCGTGAGACTCTGTCTCCAGAGGCTGCTCTTTATTTACCCGAGGGCTCAAATACCACTGGACCAACTCGACACTTGAAAATTGCAATTTGACAGTTGAAAATTGATTTTCGGATATTTTAACGCCACGTCCGAGGATCATTTTTGTTTGCCTGAGTGACTGTGGGATGGAGTTGGCCAGAAGGATGGGATCCCTTGGAAAAGCCCAAGCAGGAAGAGCTGATGTTTGGTGACAGGGGTTTCAGCCACTCCATCCAGGTGTGTTTTAAAGAGCCCCATGGCAGGGGTGGTGTTTGTGCCGTGGCAAACTCGGGGCTGTTCCAGGGTTATTCCAATAAGAGCTGCTCACACGAACTCCTGCAAACAGCTTTGCTTCATTTTGGGGTGTTTTTCACAGCAGTCAAATACTGGTGCTTTATTTATGACACCAATAATACTCCTGTGCCACAACAGGACACTTTTATTGCTGGGTTTGAAGTATTTGCATTTTTATTTAAAAGTCTGAGCCAAGCAGCAATTGGAAAAAAAATCTCAACGGGAATAAATAAGAATTTGACAAAAATATGCATTGGGGGCCCCTAAAGAGCTGAGCAGCAGAGAAGGGAGCTCAGCCTTTCCATCCAGGGTGGCTTCAGGAGGGGAGAGGGGGGCAGTGGTGGCCATGTGGGTCACTGGGGTAGCCTCCCCCTCACCCACATCGCTCAGCCCTGGAAATGGTTTCACAAACAGTGGTTTATGACTGAGTTTTGCTATTACAAACACTTTTATTTTCTCTTTCTGATAAAGTCTCTTGAAAGAAATCACCTTCCAGGAGCTGTAGCTGAAAATACCGAGCAATGGAGCTGCCAATCTACCCTTTTTTTTTGGTAAAAGCTTGAAGTAGTCTTATGTTGTCCACTTATTTGGTTCAGGAAAGAGTTCAAAGCTCATCCCAGGAGATAAAAAAAAAAAATCTCAGAAAAATCCAAGCAGTACCTGTGTTAAATTCTAGTCTCACAGAAAAAGAAAGGCTGAGAGAAATTATTAGTGTTAATAATAGGAAAATAGGAGCTGAACGAATCATTTTGCAGGTAAGGAACAGATACTCACACAGGTGCAGGAGCTTTTCCCTTCCTTGTGGTGGATTCCCATCCTTTAAACAGCCAAACTGGGGCTTTCTAGTCGAGATTCTCGGAATTGCCCTCTGGAGGCACCTGTCTGTTCCTCTGAATGCTTTAACTGAAATCAATAGCAAGAGGATGCTCTTCAGTATTAGACCAAAAAACAGGCCCCTCGTATCTTTTTTCACAGTAATCTTACGAGATATAATCCTTCAACTGATGCTGGAGGATTTTGTTCCTGTACCCACCCGACATATGTTTATGCATTTTAATATGAAACCCTGTCTAATGGCTCCCATTCAAATCCCAGGCTAATGATGCAAAGTGTGCAGCAGGAAATGCAGCAATTCCTCACAGTTTCTGTCGCTGCATTTTACTTACGGCTCCCGTTCAGCAACCTGGCACAAACCTCTTACAAAACTGAGAAAACAGAGTTTCAGAGAAAGCCCTTAAATTATGTGCTTGATTTTCTTAATATAGAAGAGGGGTTCAGTTTGGGGTTTGGGTCCACCACCAGCTCAATGCTAATTTGCAGGGGGCTTGTTTGGGAAGTGATCCCCGGAGCGAAGGTGGCAGTCGCTGGCAGTGGGAGATCCCATCCCTGCAGCTCGTCCTGGATTCATTCCCAGGTGGCTGCAGCCAGTGTGCTGATGCTGGGAAGGTTATGCTTCCAGCCCCAGGTGGGAGTGGGCATGAGGTTTGCTTTGCAGAGAGGGCACAGCCTTGTTGGATGCTCAGGATCCCTCCCGTCCGGAGCCGGCTCTGGGTGACGCTCTTTGGGAAGATGGGGCTGGGGAAAAATAACCAAAGGAGGAATGCTCTGCAGAAATGCCTGGGATATCCACCCAGAGGTGTAGACACACTTATGTGTTTCAGAGAGCTGCCTGCCTGCTGCTCTCCCCAGGGGGGACACGGGTGTCCCCTGCCCTGGAGGGGGCTGTGGGTGCCGTGCCCTGCCCAGGGACACACACGCTTTTTCCACCCTTGCCTTTTCTTTTTCCCTTGTCACATTTATCCTCTCAAAAAGTTGAATTATATTTGCAGGCACGGAAAGATGGAATTTCAGTGCCTGTTCCCCACTATGTGGAAGGGGGAGCCGGGGGTTGGTGGCTGAACAGGAGCACAGCTCCAAGGAACAGGAATTTTGTCTGGTCCAGCAGTGCCGGATGCAGCGTAAAAACTTACAGGTCTGTTGTGGCTCTGAAATCTGGGAAAATATAAGGGGCTTTGTTCTATTATGGGGGGTTTTTTTCAGCTTAAGTGGTTTGGGAACTCTTTTTTTCCCAGGTAAAGTAGTTTTATTTTAATAACTGCGACCAGCTCTGTTTGTGTCTTTTAGCCACAAATCCCCACCGCGACTGCGTTTCTTTGCTAATGGAAATAAAAGGTGAGAGAACTAAAAATAATAATAAAAATACTTCAGATGTCTACACTTGAATTCAATTAATGCCTCCATCTTAGTCTATCAAACACTTGAGAGAGCCACAATAAGAGGAAATATAGATATAAGTGCCTAAACAAAGTGGCCAACGGTTGCACAGACACATAAATCACCCCCTCTTCATGAAAATGCTCAAAGAATCGAATGATGACTTTTATTTTCTCCATTTACTTAAGCTACTTTCACCTTAAAAACATGCAAATAATATTAAAGCCACACAAATGAGATTACCTTTGCTGCTGCCAGAGGCAGAAGTGGGAGCCCATCCTGGTGGCTGAGCAGGGACCAGAGTTCTCCTCCTGGCCGTGTGTTTTACAAGGAGTTGTGATTTGCTCGGAGCATTTGAAGGAAGCCAGTGAATTATGTTATTTTTTTAAAGTGTAAATCCCTGGGGATAAGTTAGAAAATGCTTCAGTGCTTTTTAAAATAGCATTTTGCTTGAGTGGTGGCTTGGCTGGCGCTGCAGACCAAAATTATTTCTTTATTTCTGGGGTCCAGGGTTGGATTCCTGCCCCTGCATCGCTTCCCCCGAGCCTTTGCATTGCACCCCACGCTCCTTGGGAAAGTCATTGAAGTCCCTCTGTTTTCCTTTCAGTGGTCATTATCTGTTAGGCAAACTCCACCCCAAAGGAGACCATCCTCCCTTAAAGAATAATGAAATTGGTTTGTTATTTTTCTCTCTCTGATTTTTCTGTAGCACCAGGGAACAAACGTGGTCAGAGATGAGGGAGAATGATCCCTGGGATGTCCCATCACCTGGAACTGAGAGCAAGCACAGCAAGGAGAGCACCCTTTGTACACCAAACCAAGGCTGAAGGTGAAGTCTAAGCACGTGTGAGATGTTCTCACTTCTCCTGTACCATAACACCTGGGACCTGTGGTCACAGATTTACTTAAACCATGTCTGGCACTGTACAAACCCAGCACAGCAAAATCTTTCCTGCTGCAGGGAGTGGCCTCAGAGGTGCCTCTCACCACAGGTGGTGGTGGGGATGGTGCCAGTCCTCGTGGAGGTGGTGTTGGTTTGCAGGATCGTGGCAGAACTTGAAAAGAATTTGTTTTCATACCCTGTGCTTTGGGAAACTTGGTGTGGAGTAAGGAGGTGTCCTTGGCAAAACAGAAGAGAAGAGAACAAAACTAGGCTTCAGCACCAAAGTAGAGGTTTGGGGGAAGAATCTTTCATTGAATCCCAGACTGGTTTGGGTGGGAAGGGACCTTAAAGCCCATCCAGTGCCACCCCCTGCCATGGGCAGGGACACCTTCCACCAGCCCAGGTTGCTGCAAGCCCCGTCCAACCTGGCCTTGGACACTCCCAGGGATCCAGGGGCAGCCACAGCTTGGGCCTTTATCTCTAGAAAACACACTTTACTGAGAACATCTACAAAATGTGTGGGACCACAAACACTTCCATTTTTGTTTACAGCTGACAAACACTGTCCAGCCAGAGAGGTGCAGTTCCTGCTGCCCCACCTCAGGCTCTGGACACAGAAATAGTTCAGGAGTCCAGGCTCTGGCTGGCAGTTTAACTTAGTTGTCCAATCTTTTGGAAGACAGCTGGGCTCGAGCAGAGAGCAGGGAAGGAGCAGAGGGTTTCAGTGCATGGTCAGCTTGGTCTTGGCTCACACCATCCAAAGTCACTCGTCCTGCCCAGCATGGGCCCAGCTTAAAGAGTTGATATTCAGGTCTTGCTACAGATACTCAGGTTTGGATCTCTTCCCCCTGTGCTAGGGGTGCCCAGAAATACCAAAACATTTATTATCATTTTAAAATTTTGAGATTTCTATGAATTATTATAACAAAATACCCCTGATTTATTTACCAGGGTAATTCCAAAAGTATTTTCATTTTAGTATTAAATTGTACATTTATTCCACAAAAAAGAAGCATCATAAGGGGCGATAAAAATATCTTTGAAAATATTGTGTATCATTAAAAAAAAGGCTTCAGTTTTTCTTTCCTTAAGGGCCAGGTTTGAGCATAAAGGGACTGAAAACTCATGTCCAGCCCTGCCTGATGTGACTCTGTTCAGGGGAAGGCACAGATGTGATGTCCCCAGGGGTGTCACCCCCTGGACACCTTCAGAGCATCCTTCCATGGCACCCACAGGGTCAGATGTTTTACCTCTCCCCCCCCTTTGTATCCCCAGTGTTGGGCAGGGAGACATTTCCATGGCTGCACGTGCACGTGTGTTTATACCCAGAAGTCTCAATCCCAGCCTGAATTTCCAGGAGATAAATCCGTGTTTGCAGTTGGCAGGAAAAATGCCTAAATGTCACCGGGATATTTCTTACCTGCTCCTAACAATTATTATTTTTAGGAGGATCATTATGCAGTAGGGTCCTTTCTCCACTTAAGCTGAAATATTTCCCTCCCATAGGAAAACCACAAGTCAACACCTTTTAAGATTGGGATTTATTTCCCACCCCCCCCCCCCCGTCTCATCCTTCACTCCTGCGTCATTAATTTAATCTGTAATTGTAAAAACATTTTGAAAGATTAAAATCCTCTCTCACTCGTGCCCACTGGTTACTCTGGGGTGCTGAAACAATTCATCCCGTTACATCAAAAGATAATTTGCCGGGTAATTCCGTTAAGCCCCAAACTGCGGCGCATTTTCGTGGCGATACCGTTAATATATCAAGAGTAAATAAAATGTTTAGTGGGAGGCACATTAATTATCGCCTTCATCTACCGGTGTTTAAAAGTAAGAAATAATTAAAGGTGCTTTAATAAGATGTGGTGGTGGGAGAGCGGATCGTTGTGAGTGGCTGGAGGTGCTGCCTCTCCCTCGAGAGCAGGAATTTATGCCCAACACCCCGCTGATTGTTCAGGAGGTAAAGAACCAATGGCTGCGTGTACAGAGGTTTAATTTAAAGTGTGTTTCTCACTAGGCTGCTCACAACACTTAATTAAACTCTGCTGTTTTGGCAATGACAAATGCTGTGGTGCAAGAGGAACCAGAGCAGCGGTGACTGAGAAGCCTTCGCAATTTCGCTCGTGTGCGGTGGCAGCCGGATCCAGGTCAGGAGAGAAGGAAAGAATAAAAGATTTATTTAAGGTGTTTGAAAGCAGTTGCCACTTCCCAGGGTCCCTGTGAATCCCGGAGAAGGTTTCCTGGCAGGCAGGTTTCACCTGTCTGTGGTTTTGGATATCATGGAATGTGGCCACGGGAAAATGTTTGGTGCTGTTCCTCAGCCTCCTCGTGCAAGATGCTTCTCTTCATCGTGTTTGATGAAGGGAAGGGACTGTCCCCCTGTGCTGGCACTGCTGAGGCATCTCCAGGGCTGGGACAGTTCGGGGACCTAAGACGAGAGACATGGAGGGGCTGGAGCGCGTGCAGGGAAGGGAAGGGAGCTGGGAAGGGGCTGGAGCAGCAGGAGGGGCTGAGGGAGCTGGGGGGGCTCAGCCTGGACAAAAGGAGGCTCAGGGGGGACCTTCTGGCTCTGCAACCCCCTGACAGGAGGGGGGAGCCGGGGGGGGTCAGGCTCTGCTCCCAGGGAACAAGGGACAGGAGGAGAGGGAACGGCCTCCAGCTGTGCCAGGGGAGGCTCAGGTTGGACATCAGGAGGAATTTCTCATGGAAAGGGTGGTCAGGCACTGGCAGGGGCTGCCCAGGGAGGTTTGGAGTGCCCAGCCTGGAGGTGTCCCAGGAAGGCCTGGCCGTGACACTCAGTGCTCTGGGCTGGGGGACAAGGGGGGCATCGGGCACAGGGGGGATCCATGGGCTGGGAGGGCTTTTCCAGCCTCAGTGATTCTGTTGGGTTTATGGTTAAAAGGCCCAAATCCAGGGACAGGCACAGCCTGGCTCAGCCACAGCTCCTCTTGACTTCAGCTGGGCCCATTAGCACGGGCTGGAGGAGCTGCACTCACACCCTGAGAGAGGGGATCACAAGCCAGATAGATAATCATGGCTTTAGACAGATTGTGTCATTCCCTATTCAGACAGATTTTTAAGTAGACAAGTTTCTTTCAAGTCAATAAAAAAAAATAAATCTATTTTCTCACATTCCTGCCGTGAAATACCAACCTGGAATGTGAGGAGACACTCCTTCCTCGGTATTTTTAGCTTCCAGACCTTTATTTTAGGCATACATGGACATAAACGGTATTGCATGTTAAACCACAGTCTCTCCTGGTTTAATTCCCTGTTCCCCTGTCCACCTGTCCGCACAGTTTAAGCAGGGTAATGTAAATTGTCAGTAATATATAGTCTCGTTTAACACTTGCATTAATAAAAAAAGCAGTGGAACAGCTCTCACTGATGGAACAGTGGGGTTTCTCCTCTCTCCCTCCGTGTCTCCAGCTGCAATCCAGAGTGCTGCAAGGACACACTTGGAATAGGATGGCCTTTGAGGTCCCTTCCAACCCAGACCAGTCTGTGAGTCTGTAAGGACACACATTTTGAGAAAATGTCCCTGAGTTTAAGTCTGTTCTGAATATGAAAATTCCTGAGACAAAAAATACTGAGTTTTTTGCAGTGCAAACCTCTGTTGCAGTGATAGAGTTTTACAGAATGCCAGGTATGATGTAAGTGTCCTCTGTGGAGGTTAAAAAAAGGGGAGGGATGGGGGGGACCAATATTTGGAGCAGCTTCCTTAAATCTGTGTGGAAGGAGGGAGGCAAGGAGGCTGTGTTCATCCTGTGACTGTGCCTCATACCCAAAAAGTCAGGTCTGAGGATGTTATTACAGGGCTGCAAGACTGGATAATAACCCCTTTTATTTCCAGAGGGTGACCAGATGAATTAGAGGGGGTGTTTCCTTGGGGATGGGGGGTAAGGAGCAGAGCCCAGGAGCTGGTTCCTCACTGCATTCCTGGGGCTGGGAGGACGTGTCGCACACGGCACCGAGAGTTATAAAAATATCACACTGCTTCAAGCTTTTTTTTCTTTCTTTGAAGGGTATTTTTGATGAATTCTAATGTAAACCATTTTGTTAATTTAATTGATTTTTTTCTTTTTAGTACAGACTTAAATAAAACCTCACACGAGTCCCCAGGGGCTGGCGGTTCTCTTTGATCTGGCCCAGCTCTTCCCCGGCTCTCTCCGATCCTTTTTCATCCCTCCCTCCCCTCTCCCGACCACTTTTTCTCTGCCAGAAACTCTCCCATCACCCTTTGCACCCATCATATTGCTTCCTGCTGCCTTTTCCTCCTCCTCCCTTCTCCAGCTGTGATGATCCCAGAGCATTTTTCCATCCCAGGTGAGGAGAGCATGGGGAGGTTCCTCTGGCTCTCTGCCCCAACTGGGACCACCTGCCTTGAATTCCCTCTCATTAGCCCTGATATTTTTCCCTCCTCATCCCTCCCCACCCTTTTGGGTGGTTGGCTGGTGGTTGAGGTGCTGCTGCTGCCCTTTCCAGGGTTTCTCCTGCTCCACCTGTGCAGCCTTTGGGCTGGTTGGGCTCAGTCACAGGAGCACAACTCGGTGCCAATGTGCCCTTGGTCCTTCTGCTGCGGTCCCTGAGCGTGTCTGAGGCATTCAGGTAAAACTTTTATACCTTTTTCTGGAGATAGAGCAGCTCAGCCAGGCCCTGTTTACCCTGCTCATTTATTTCAGAGTCCCCCAGTAAAACCAGTCCATTTGGAATGGGAGATAGAAGGTACTATAAGTGGTGGATGCCTTCTGGTGAGAGCAGTGGAGTTTCTGTGGGGTTTATACGTTGCTGATGCTGTCAGTGGTTTCTGTGATTGTGGGATGTTGTTATCACTGTGCTGCAGCCCTGCTGTCAGGAGGCCACTGCAGGGACATAGCTGGAAGGGCTTGTGGCATTTGATGTTCCTGACCTGCAGTAACTGCACCATTTTAGGATGTGAGAATTAAAACCAGCCCAGTGGGTCTGGCTGGGGGGTGAGGGAAGGGGCTGTGCCCTGCCTGGCTCTGGCACCATGGGGCAGCCAGGGCTTGGGGTGACCCACAGGGCCTTTTGTAGCCTTCTGCATTTCCCCTGAACCCAGAAGAGCAGCATTCCTGATGGCAAATACCTCCAGGAGAGCTCTTCTCCTGCCCTTTCTCCTCGCTGTTGTGCCCTGGGATGCGCAGGTCTCTGGCTCACCTGGAGGAGCTCCAGCTGCTGCTGCAGGGAGCAAAGATTAACCCCCCTTTTCCCCTGGTTGCTGAGATGCTGCTAAGTGAGCTGTTTGAAAAACACACTGTGACTTTGGCTCCACGGAGACGGCTCAGGGCGTGG